CAGAAAGCTGTATTGTGCCTCTTACTCTGTTGATATGGTAGTCAAGATACTTTCGGTGAGGATTTATTTTCGATTGAGTCGCCCGGATTGCCCTTGCGAGTGAACCATGCTTGCCAAACGCATCGACCACCGCAGACTTTGGCATAGATTGAAACGGTATTTCCTGCCTTCTTTTACGAGGTGCACTGAAAAATTCCACACAACCGAATCCCTAGAAGTGTTCTAGGTGTTCAACCTCAGCCTGCCATTGGCACTGCTTCCGGTTTGGTATTAGAACGCAAGATCTAGTTGTTTCCGAATCTTACTGGTCAGCTTCTCGGAGGCATGAACCTTCTAAGCCGCATTTGTATTTTCTTTGAGGTCAATTACCGTCGCGATCTCATCCAACCATGCTAGACATGCGCGATGCTCACCGTACTGTCCGATAACTAAGGCTACTTTGACCCAAGACCTAGACGGAGGTCCATACCGTTTTCAATTGCTGGAAGAGTCCTACAGCCCTGCATTGCTTAGAATCACACAGAACGTGCTCAACCTAATCCCCGAAGTTCTTCTGCTGTTATCCCGATAACATACTTTCCGTTTTTTCCTCCGTTAGTTTCATTCCTCCTTCTGCCCTGGTCTACCACTTCAATTGAGGCATAAAAATGAGCGGCGTCAAAAATGCGATGAACGAACTTAAAGCGAAGCAGGAGGCCCTGCAGACTCAGTTAGATGAGCGCGATGATGAGATAAAAAAGGCACAGAGTGAAAACTATGAGGTGGTCATTTGATTTTCTTTTCACTGTTACCTACATGCTTTGTTTAGCTTGAGCAAAATAAGCTTTCCTTGGAGCGTCAAGTGCTTCTGCTGCAGCAGAAAATCAAATCCACCCAAAAGTTGCTCGAACAGAAAGAAGGCAAAATTAAAGAACTCCAGGCGCTTAACACGAGCGAGTAAGCCCCTTACTTTCCATGCACACATACACACACAAGGTCCTCCGAATCCCTCTCTCTCAAGAGTCAGGATGTTGATGCCCGGCGGGACGAACTGCTAAATCAGCTTAAAGACGCCCGCGATGAAGCCAATAGAATGGACATGCAATACGAAGAGGTGGGTCTCTCCCCCTTTTGAGCCGATTTATCTTAGCTTTAGGTGGCCAAAAGGCTGATTAACATGCAGAGGAATGGCGAACTGACTCTCCAGCGGGCCCTC